AATAATGTTGACTTCTTTACTTCTGACACCAGCCCTTAGAATTAACTACCTCTAGATACTCAGGTTAGTTTTGATGTTCCATTCTTGTTCTCTTTGATCATCCACATCCAAATAGCTGCTGAAACCTCTGCAGTACTTCTCAATTCTCCTAAATAATTTCCTCATCCATGCTGTCTACTCTAGTAGAGTTATTACCTCTTTGAGTAACAATAATTTATGCCCATTCTTCTTAACCAGACACTCTTGGGTATATGTGCCAAAGGAGTTTGCTGATATCTACTTTTGAGTGCCTCATCTCCTGACTGCACCCTGGGATCCTCACCAGCATCCTTAAATCCACTTGGGCAGGAAGACCATTTGTACTCTCCTCTTACCCACTACTCCTACATACATTTCTCCTCCTAGCTGAGTTCTAAAGACCTTCCATGAGGAACTTCTCCCTGTTTTCACTTCCAACATCCTACAGTTAATATTACTCAGGGGTTTCAGCTGTAAGAAGAGAAAGTGGCTTTAGTCACCATAAGTAGGATGAAAGAATTTGTTAGAAGGATGCCAAGTAGTGCTAAGTAAGTCAAGATTTAGAACCAAGTGGGTTAGCAGCTGCTGAAGGAAATTGCTGGGTTCATTTCCAGCTCACCCTTCCTTGTTGTTCTCACAACAGCAACTATTTACACAACACATATATGGTATTAGTTCACTTATTAGGTATTGCATGTCATCTACTGATTATTCATAGCAAGTAGAAGGATGTGTGGCAGCTACATGGAGACACTATACGATTTTGGGTAAGATACTTGAGAATCTGTGGGGTTTTGGTATCCCAGTGGGTGAAAGAGGTCATGGAAATAACCACTCGTGAATATGAGGGGCAACTGTACTATCTGAGGCCCACAGAACCTAATGGCCTCAAATCTTGTCATCAGACCATGAGCCTCTGAAGTCTGACTGCGGGTGCATCCACAATCTTACCTTACCAAGGTGGAGCTGCTGGAGGGTTTGAATAGAAGTCTCAAAGAGGAAGGGACAGGGAAAGGGAATTCCCAACTACTTCTATTCTGTAGGAAGGCAGAAATTGGTATGACATTGTGAGGCACATTGGGGAGTGTAGGGTGAATGAAACAAATAACTTTATAGTGAGCAGAGTTAAACAGAAAGTTGTTATGACAGAGCTAAATGTAAGATAACCTTAGAAAATAAATTACAGGAACACTGATGGGATTTTAAAGGTTTATATTTTTCTCTTTCAATAATGAGTTATCAAAGACATTTTAATGGTAAAAGAATGAATACACAACTGAAATAGAATGCAGAACTGTACACTGTGTATGTTTTTCGATAAAACAAGCTTTAAAAACTCTGTCCTCCATGGTAGGCCTTGCAGTGGGTTGAGTGGTAGCCCCAAAGATGTATTTGCTTATTGCATGTGAGTTTGACCCTAGTTAATAAGAGGTCTTTGTAAATGGTTAGACCATCCTATGTTAGAATGGACCCCAATCCAAGCATATGCCTTTAGACAGGAGAAGAGGAATGATGGTCTCGGACTGGGGACTGGGCATATTAGCACGGAGTAGGAAACAGACATCAGAAGGAAGCCACACAAGCTACACAAGCTATGAACAGCCAGAAGGGGTAAGAAAAGGGTGTTCTCTGGGGCCTTTGGGACTTCAGAGTGTGGAAAGGATAAACTGATTTATATTGTCTCATATAATTTGTTAAGGTAGCCCCGGAATCTCAGTATAGGTCTTTTAGAGCTGATTACCCAGCCTTCCTAGGAACAAGTGTTCCAATCTTCTGACATGTAAAGACAGAAAGATCTATGATGATACTGTGGTGAGCAATGAGGGAGGTTTTGTTTTTTTTTTCTTTCAAAGAGAGAGCACAGAAGAAAGCAATTTTTTAGCAAAGTTAAGATGACACTGACACACAGTATGAATATGAGAAAACATGCATGACTATGAAAATAGAAGAACAAGAGCTGTGGAGGCAGGCACACACAGTTCTGCCCCAGCTTTCCCTGTTTCAGTTTCTGAAGATGTGAAATGGGCATTAGAGTTGATAGATGTCCAGATTCAGAAACAGCAATACAGTAAGTATTGCTGGGGTACATGTAAATGTCAAGACCCTGTAGTGGAAATGGAAGGGAAGGTGCAGTCAAAAATTTAAGAATCATGAACAGCAAGAATCATGTTTTGACTAAATGGGTTTGCGGGTTGGTTATCTAATGCCCCTCTGCTTACTTTCTAGGGTGGTAGGTGACTGAGAGGTGGGTCAAAAAGAGATCAAGATGGCATAAAGTTTCTTCTGGAAGCTGAAGTAGACTATAGGCCAGTGGCTCTCAACCTATGCATGGAGACCACTTTGGGGGTAGAATGACCCTTTCACAGGGGCTGCTTACGACCTCCTGCATATTTACATTACAGGTCATAATAGTGGAAAAATTACAGTTGTGAAGTAGTAATGAAAATAATTTTATTGTTAGGGGTCACCACAACAAGAGGAACTACATTGAAGGGCCATCATATTAGGAAGGTTGAGAACCACTGGTCTAGTTGAAGCCAGAGGCTGTGGGATGAAGAGCAGGCTTGGGAAGGAAAAGAGGTGATCTAGCCTTCAGGGAGTGAATATAATCTGGAGTTCCTTAAGACTATAGCTTAACTGGGAAGCAGCATACAAAAAATGGCCTTTCATATTGCAGGTGCCAGGGAGATGGCTCAATGATAAATCACTTGCTCTGTAATCACGAGGAGCAGAGTTTGGATTCCCAGTACCCACATAAATGCCAGGTATGCAAACAGCAGAAAGTAGAGACAAGAAATTCCCCTAGCAATCTGCTTAGCTACAGTAGCCAAATCAGAGAGATATAGGTTCAAGTGAGAGCAATCAGGGAAAAGACCAGATGTCAACATCTGGTCTCCCTAAACACCAGCACACATGTGTGATCATGCATTCATACATACATACCACATACATACAACATAAAAAATTCATCTCAAAATGAAAACAAAAGGCTACATCTTCTTTGGGAACACTGCACTTAGATGCTTGCAAAGACAACTTCTTACAGGGAGTCAGAGACGGGCAGGCAGAAAAAGTAAGGAATAGAATGAAATACCTTACAACAAGATGATGGACTTTTAGACAACAACAAAAAAGCCACCTGTTTAAAGAAAAACTAGGTGGGCCAGAGTCTGAAAAGAAGCTAATGAGTTTAGATGCAAGATATCAACGGGGACTGCCTTAGTATTCTATTGCTGTGAAGAGAAACCATGACTAAGGCAACTCATATATATCTGTATCTATCTGTATAGATATCATCATTTATATCTATATCATCTATATCTATCTATCTATCTATCTATCTATCTATCTATCTATCTATCTATCATCTATGCATTGAATTGAGGGCTTGCTTACAGTTTCAGAAGCTTGGTCCATTATCATTATGGCAGGACCATGGCAGCAGGCAGGCAGGCATGGTGCTGGAGATGTAGCTGAGAGCTACATCCTGATCCATGGGGCAGCAGGCAGAGAGACACACACTGGCCAAGAAACTTCAAAGCCTACCTCCAGTGACACTCCTCCTCCAACAAGGATATACCTCCTAATCCAAACAGTTCACCAACTGAGTACTAAGCATGCAAATATAGGTATGAGCCTAGGGGAGCCAATCTTGTTCAAATCTCTGTAGAAATCCTACAAAAAAAAAAAAAAAATCAGAGAGAGGAGTCTGAGGCCACTATTCAAAACAAAAGCTTAAAAACTGCGTCCATATTGTCCTACTTATTTAGAGTAAATGAATTTTAAATAGGGCTAAACTATTGATTAGAGTTCTGCTTTCCTTAATGGAAAGCTAGATATTAGCAAGATGAGGTTTGCACAAAAGGATAAATGGAGATAGCATCTCCAATTGGAAGACGCTGATCTTATACCTGATACCTCCTAGTGCCCAACTGTCAGGCTATGTGCCAGGTTCTTTACCTAAGAGGCAGGTAAACATCTTGTGTGATAAAGCTGAGAGAGGTTGTGAAACACCTGTGTGAAGTGACATAGGTCAGTTCCTGCTATGACTACAGTGCCAAGTACGAAGGCAACCTGGTCACTTAGGGTGAATTGTTTCTGCTTTCATAAGGAGGAGCCAAGAGCCAGGGCAGAAGAATCTCATTAACATAAAATGAGAGCTGCCCAACCAGAAAACTGAATTCATTTGAGTATTAAGGCTTCATTTTGGGAACTGTGAAGGAGCTTGGAGAAAAAAAAATCTGGATGGTGGTGTGTAAGACATATGTGTTCCTTTCCCTTGCTCTAGGCTTCTAAGTTACTTTGCAGGTTAGCCACCACTCAAGGCTGGGTGAGCGAGGGCTCCTTCTAAAGCTTTCTCAGCCTTCTTAATAAAGAAGACTTCTTTGGCTCTAAAGAGCTGGCCTGGGCTCTTAGGAGGCAGCGGGGGTCAGGTTTCCTCTCCTCCTAGTAAGTGGTCTGCCTGGGAGAATGAAGTAAAAAAGTGTCTGGATGGGAAAGTAAATAGATGCAAGGCAAATAAATAAAGAAAATGCCCATAAGCGATTACTGGGAGGAAGTGACATTTTTATGTAAGTCACTTTTCTGACAGACACCAGGCCTGCTATGCTGAGCGTGCCGTGGGAATGCTTGGGGGTGGGGATGGGAGAGGAGGTTGGTCGCTGTAAGAGTCCAGTGCACAGCCGGGTGCAGAGACCACCCGGTCTCCTGGGCTGGAAGTGGCACTGTATTCTCCCTGGCGCCCACCCCCAACTCTGATCCAGAGCGGGTTGCGGCTTAAAGCCCGCAGGCGGCGCTTTCCCTAGGCCGGGCCGGGACTCCCAGGTGGGTCCCCCGCCCCGCGTGCGCTGGGCTGGGCCGGCCCCTGGGCGGCGTCACGGCAGCCGGGGAGGAGCGCGGGCGGGGAGCGCGCGGAGGCGGGCGCTGCGCGGGAGGGTCGTCGCCGCGGATCGCAGGCCGGGGCGCGCGGCCGAGCAGGAGGCGGCGGCGGCGGCGGCGGCGAGGAGGAGGGCTCGGCGGCGGGCAGGCTCCGGGGCTCCCGGGCCGGCGGGTTCCGCCGGGTCGCATAGCGTCCGCTCGGCGGCGGGAGGAGGGAGCGGTGCAGACAAAGAGCGGCATCTGGGCGGGCGCAGCGCGGCCGCCGCCCCGGGACCCGCGCCGTTGCCCTCTGGCCTCGGCGAGCGATGTGCACTGAGGTAAGGCGACAACGGGGGCTGCAAACTTGGGCGGGTCGATAGAGTTGGGAGAGAGGGGCGGGAGGGCCAGGACTGCCCTGGAAGGGCCAGGGAGGGTGTCCCCTTGCGCGCCCTGCCGGTGCCCTCGGCCCCGCCGCGGCCTGGGCGTCCCCGGGCACCCGCACCTCGGATACACACCTTCTTGCGAGCCTTCTCCTTCCACAGCCCCGAGCTGGCGTGGGGGTGGGGCGCCCTCCGCAGGCGGACGCCGGGGACCGAGGACCGAAAGCCCTCGGGAACAGAAGCAGCCCTGGCCTGCGGGCGGGTGTGGGACCCAGCCGTGGCCGGGTCGCCGGGCGCGCGTGCCTGGGAAGAATAGCCTGGGATCTGAGGGCCCCAGCGCTAGGAAGCGGGAGACTGCGATGGCCGGGGAGAACTTACTGAATTTAGAACTATTAGTGATTCGGCACAAAGCTGCTGTCACGTTCCATAAAGGAGGTCCTTACCTCGGCGCAGGGCGCTTTTGTGCCTGGTTCCAGACCTTGTGTCCTGCCCTGCATTTCCAAGACTTAATCCTGAGCCAAAGTTTCTCCGTGCCCTCCTCCCCACCCCGCAGGTTTATTCAGGGTGATTTAAGCAAGTGGTTTTGCAAGAATTTGTGTGTGACTTTTAATGCCCCGACGGCACCTCCCTTTTGAGTACTGTTAGCTTGGCATTGTGTGGAAGGGTTTGATTTGCAAAACGCTGTAATTTATATACAATAACGATTTTCCCGGAAGGTGTGCGAGGGTGGTGGTTAATGGATAGCAGACGTGAGACTTACAATAGTATTGTGAACAGCTTGGGGACCAGCTGGGCTGCCAGTGGAGTGGGCCCTGTCACTTTAGCCCATTCACGCCGGCAGTTTCCCCCTTATTTGGTTTTTATTTTGCTAGTAGGTTTAAGGCTAATCTTGCCAAGTTTGCATCTGCATATTGGGACGAACAGGTCCGAGTTTGAGCTGGAGGTGTACAGGCCTGCTTTTTGGTTGACCGCAAATGAAACAGCTCATTGACCAGTAGGCGTGGTTTGCTGGTACCCTCCCGTGGAGACTTCTTTCTGCTCCTCATCCAGTGCAGGGATTTTGAGGAGGAATGAAAATAATTTTAGGTGTGTTTCAAGCCTGAGTTTTTGGTATAGTTATCGACAGTGGTTTTCTAGTCTAAAGGTCACTACTTTATCAAAACACCTGAACTGTGCTTGAGGACACTCCCTCCATTCGCTTTTCAAGTGTTTATAGAAACGGACTTAGAAACAGGACTTTCATGCACAGGCCCGGTTTATGTCGTGAAGGGAACCAGTGGACACATGAGAGAAAGTGCACTTTAGATTTAGACTTAGAGTTAGACCTTTGGGTCTTTCCTAAGTGACCACAAGAGACAATCCTGCCTTAAACTTTCATGCCTCCGAGTAGGTTAGTGTAGTTTTGATTTAGGGAAGTAAAGGTCCCAGTGACCCAAAGCTGAAATTGAGAACTTTGTGCAGCCTAAAGCATGGAGTTAACAAGCTCACTGCTTGTCTTGTTCTCAGCTTCTTATATGTGCTGAAACAGAGCCCCAGTCTCAGGGTTGGGAGTTGCTTCCTGCTGCTTGGTAGCTAATTTGCCCACCTGTGGAGAGACTTTAAAATGGGTCGAGTTTACAAAAGGTGGTTTCCAGCTCCCGTTTAGTGTCCATTTCCAGGATTTCAGTGTTCTTTCACAACATGGTCTTTGCTTCAATCTTCTTCCTTTCTTTCTGTTTGACCCTGTCATATTCCTGACCTCTGTCATGTACATTGGGGTATGGAACATTCTCAACAAACAGCAGCACCCAGGTGTTTGAGAAATGTGCTTTTGTCCTTGTTAAATCTCCCCACATCTTCCTTGCTGTAGCAGACTGGATGACCCCTTGAAAACAACCGGAAACTCACTGATTGCATAGCTACCTGGAGTTATTTGATCACTTTCATTAGCTTGATTTGCCCTGGCAAGACCAGGCCGGGTTGCTCTGTAGGGCATACGTGCTTCTAACTGACTGGCTTGCAAAATACACTTCGCCTGACATGGCTTATGGAAATGATTTTCTGATGTTCAAAATGAGGCTTAATGACTGAAGAATTCAAGATTGCTTGTTGCAAGTGCAAGCAGGGTAGTGAGCAGTATTTGGGAAAACAAGTAAGCTAACTTTTCTTACAAATGAACTGGGAATCTTCCCCCAGAGACTTAGGAAATTAATTTTCTCTTCCAGAAAGACTAAAAATGGTGCTTCAGAATTGTTTCTCTTTCCTGAAAATGACTGATGGAAACATTTTTCAGGGTGTTTTCAAAGGACAAAAGTGAAAAAATAATGCTATTTGTGCTGTTAACTGCCTAAGTTAAGGCAGCTCAGAAGGAGGTCAAAGCAGTCTTTTAAATCAGGCTATCAAAGGTATGCAGCTGTGGTGAAAATACTCCCTTTTTTTAGGCCATCAGAGCAGTGCATTTAAAAAAAAACTTTACTTTTCAGCAATTCACTTCAGTCAAATCATAGAGAACATGATGGTAAAAGCCTTTCTTAGGGAATCGCATCCTCTGCATTCCCATTGCCGCCCCTCCGCTTCCTGCCTGCTCCTTGGAGTACACTTCTGCCTGGGATTCTCAGTCCTCCAGGCCATGGCAGTGAAAAATGTTCTTTAGATTGACGTACCATGTTAGGGTCACAGTGGTGTTCCCCATCTCTTTGTGCGACTAGCCCAAGAAGGATCTGGTACCTTTTCCAGCTTCTGTGGGTATCCTAAGTTTCATATTTTTTAGTGGTCATTGCTCTCCTATATCCCAGCATCTTCCATCTCAACCAACAGGCAATGACTGTGTCCTTGGACTTCCAGCAGAACTTTCTTGGTGGTTTCCTTTGACGTTTGTGACCCTCTTGCCAATTATCTTCATTGTCTCCTACCCATGTGGGCTGGAAGGTGCTGATCCACAGCTCATGTGTGACAGCACACTAACATGCTGTTGACTTCTGGCCTGTGTTGTTGAGGTCAGTGATGAGATCAGAATCTCAGCCTCTGCTTGGAACCCGATCACACCAAAGGTCCCTGGGACTTTGAGACAGTTAGGGAATGTGATATGGTGGCCTTTGTTTGGTGAATTCTCTTGTCAGTCAAGTCATTTGTAATCCTTGGGTGAAACTTAAAACATGAAATTTCTTTAGATCTCTTTTACATATCCTGAAGGTAATCTTAATGTAATCCTTTTTGTGCACCTGCATTGTCGAGCCAAATGTCCCCCTCTCCAGAGCCATGTGGTGGGCTGGCTGAATGGCCTTTGTTGTTATGAGACTTGATCTTACTATATGTTGTCCTCAAACTTGAGCCTTCTGCTGCGCACCTTTGCTAGCCTGATTTAAAAGACTATAACCCAGAGTACTGCGATTGCAGTTGAGTGCCATCCTGCCTGGCTTGAGTGAGGTTTTCAATAGATGAGGCTGCCCAAATCAGCCTGACATGACAGCTCTAGCCAAGTATTAGTTATGCTGCTAAGAAGTAGTTATTGGTTAATCATTGCCTTTCTGCTGTCTGTATTCGTAATATTTTTAAGAAAAGAAGGTTCCAGTTTACTCAGAATTTAATTCTAGATTGAAGAGCCCTAATCTGAAAGTCTGGTCTGCAAATTTCATGACTCTGTTTTTCTTTATAGCTGAATAGTATCCCATGGGATATGCACCACATTTTTATTATCTGTTTGTCTGTTGAAGGACATTTATGTTGTTTCCATTTCCTTGCTGTTGTGAATTGGGTGACAGTAAACATGGCTGAGCAGGTATGTGTGGAGTAGGAGAATGTGTCCAGTCCTTTGGGCATGTGCCAAGGAGTGGTATAGCTGGGTCATTCATTTGTTGGATTTATTTTTATTTTTTTGAGGATTCTCCATACTGATTGCCAGAGTGGTTGTACTAGTTTGCATTTACACCAGTAGTGAATGAGAGTTCTTCTTTTTTTTCTTACATCCTCACCAGCAGTTGTTTTGTTGATCTTGGCCATTCTGACTATGGTGAGATGAAGGCTCAAAGTTGTTTTAATATAAATTTCTCTAATAACTAAGGATGATTAACAATTTCTGAGAAAGCATTTGAAGGCTTTCTGAGTATCAGTGGATATCACAAGTGGAAAATTCCATCCCTGATCTTGTGACAAACTGTCCAAGTTTGGTGGAATAGAAACACTGAGATTACACTCAGGGTGCACATATAAAATATGTATGAAGCACATGGATTTCTTATTTTGACTTGGGTGTTAATTCTTTCACGTGTGTAACAAATGCAGGTTGTAGATTGGGGTGATAGTAAATAAGTAATTTATCACTAGGATGAGTAAGTAATTTGTCCAAGACTTCCAGTTGAGGGTGGCATATACATACTACACATACCTCAAAGGCTGACACACTTCTGGCCCGAAACCTATTGGATAAGAGACGTTCAACCTGTATTGCAATTTCTTCTTGTAAGACAATTTGGGGAAATAGATACATTGGCTAACCAGTTGTTAAGGAAGACCTAAACTGCCAGATGATGCTAAAAGTATAAGATATTAATGTAATTTATAGTATACAAAGTACTTTTTACATGTTACATATTTAGTGTTCTGCATAGAATGGCATTTGGGTCTGACTCACATCTGTGTGAGAAGTTTGGACCAAGGTTGTAGATCCTGAACTTAAGTTAAATTCATGTTATTCCCTGTCACCTCTCAGAAGGCAGCAGGTGAGACTACAGTGTCACTGAGTCCCAGAGCCTTGTCATAGCTCTTGGGTGTTGTCTTAATTATGGTTTTTAGGGCTGTGATGAAACACCATGACCAAAAACAAGCAGGGGAGGGAAGGGCTTACTTAAATTGTTTGTTTATTTGACCTATACTTCTATATTATTGTTCACTATCGAAGGAAGTCAGGACAGGAACTCAAACAGGCAGGAACCTGGAGGCAGGAGCTGATGCAGAGGCCATGAAGAAATGCTGCTTATTGG